GGCAGGCGGGGAGGAGGCGGAAGCTGGCATGGAGCCCGCCACACATCCTCAACCCGTCCTGTCCCCCACCTAGGTGGGGCTGAGCTGCCCCAGCAGCCGGGGTCCAGGAGCTACTGGGGCGGGGCAGGCAGTCAGAACCCCAGGCCAGGGGGCAGGAGCTGGGGCCTTGAGGGGGGGAACGTAGGGGAGAAGCTGAGAGTGTACCCTGGGCAGAACTGGTGGGTGGGTGTTGGCAGCTGGTGAGGGCAAGACTCCCCGCCCGTGACAGTATCACCAAGGACAGGCAAGGAGAAGGGGGGTAGGGGCCGAGCCTGCCCATCTTCTGCCCACAATGGACACAAGGGTGGGCTGTGGACAGAGGTCCATGGCAGGCGGCAGGGCCAGCTGTGGGGAGCAGGGCTGGGAAAAACAGCGGACATGGCATGGACAGGCAGGGCACGGGGTCAGGGAGAGGCCGCCTCTCGCTGCAGGTCACTCGTTCCACGTACATGCACACAGCAGAGCCCACGCGTATGCACCGGCACACATGCACACTCACCGGCACACGCAGGCACCCCCCACCCAGGGCCCTGCCGCTGCGTCTTCCTGAGTGGGGATAACACTGGCCTGACTGGGGCGATCGCCCTGGGCCAGACTTCGTGCAGACAGGGTGGGGGCAGCTGATCCCGCCTCCAGGCTCCCAGGCTCAGGCGCCCCAGGGAAGCTGCCCAGCCGAGGTGGCGGGCACACGGGGAGGGGAGGGGAGGGGAGGGGTGGGACAGGCTCAGCCCTTTGGGGTCACAGCCCATGCTAAGCGAAGGGCTCCAGACAGAGTAGTTCATTCTGGAAGGCCAGCTTGGGATGGACCAGGTGGCTCCCCCCAAGGGTGCCCAGCTGTGTCATGGCGGGAAGACCCTTGGCCCCAGGACGGTGAACCCCGTCTCCTTATGGACGTGTGTCCCCAGAGGGCCTTGGACCCCTTAACCCAGAGTCTCCACTCCTGCCATGGACCCCAGGCCCCCAACCCACCGCAGACGCTCTTCCACTCACCCTCCACCTCAGCCACACCAGGCAAACTGTAAAGTGCTTTGTAAAGTGCAGGTATATAGCGATGCTCCACAGCACCCTGCCAGCCCCCGCCCAGCCACCCAGCCCACCCCAGGGCAATTCGGGGTCCAGGCCGTCTGCCCATGGAGGCCTCTCAGTGCAGGAGGCAGTGAGCTGTCCGGGAGACGGCGGCTGCCCCTCCACCCTCCACCTATCTCCGCCGCCACGGCAGGCCCCACCTCCCAGCCTAGGACTGGCCTCCCCAAGGCCCTGGTGATGCTGGGTGCAGGGGCGGGGGGTAGAGTCCCAAGTGTCTCCTGGGAAGTACAAGGGGACACTATTAGGAGCACTGCCTCCCGCCGGCCGGCACGTGACAGCCGCCGTGTGGAAGGGCAGCTGGAGAGGCCTCGGCGCCCACCTCCCCGGGCCAGCTCCCGCATGGTGGCCACCATCCAAGAACCCTTTGGGGCGGTCAGGGTTCTCCCCTCCTCTCTGCACCCCCCGCCCCTGCCACTGATTCACTTGGCCAAGTGGCCACTACTCACAAAGCTCAGGGGCTCTCCACACCAGGCACGTCCACCAGCAGGCAGGACAATGGGTGTGATGGGGAAACTGAGGCCTGGGAAGGGGGGACTAGCAAAGCTGGGCCTCTCTGGACTCGCAGGTGGGCTTTCTACTGCCCCATCTCCCCGGAGCATTTCGTCCCTCTGGTCTTCCAGCTGGGTTCTGGGGCCAGGCTCCCCCACAGAGGCAGGACCTCTGCTTCTGCTCTCCCAGTGGGTGACCACAGGTGATGCACTGAGGTGCTTTCAGAAGCTCAGGGCTATTGGGGCCACCTAGGACGGCCCAGGACGGCCTCCGGAGAGAGGTCTGGTTTTAAGGGACAAGGAAGCAACCTTCCTCTGGGCCCCAGTGTCCTCATCTATGAAGGGGGAGCTGACGGGGCAACTGTGGCCCCGTACCCCTGACCGAGGGAAGCCGCCAGGAGATCAGCGCTCTGACCCGGCCCTTGGAGGCAGGGGCTGGATGGGGTCCTCTCCTCCCCAGGGCCCCAGCGTGATGCCTAATTCCCCCAGGGACCAGGGCGCAGGCTGTGTCCTAATCGCTGACCTATCTCGGATGGGGGCTCTGCCTGATGCTGAGAAGTCCGTGGTCCTGACCTCCACCAGACGAGTCTACTCTGAGCCTAGCTCCCTGAGGCTGGTGACGGTTCTTCACCGGCGTGACAAGCCTGGCTCGCCCTTCCTGTTTGGCTTGAGACTCTGTTGTGAGGACTTCTAGGAAATCAGCAACGAGGGGCTGATAATTGCTTGTTCTTGGAAATCTCCTAAAATAACGTGGCCAAATGTGGGTGGGGGCGGGGCAGCCCTCTCAGACGACGCTGCTTCATTCCATCCCAAGTCTCAAGTTCCAGTTACTCATAAAAGAAGTTTCTCGTGCATAGTTCCAGATTCTAATGGATTTCCAGGAAATAGCACCAAAATGACGCTGACGTTGTTGGGCCCTGTTTTTCAAGCTCTCTCGCTCACTGCTCTTCTCCCGCAGACTCCAAGGGCAGGCACAGCTCTCTCCCGCGCGCTGGGAGGGTGGCTGAGTCTGCACCGCCCACCCGAAGACCAGGGCTCCCGGGATACTTGCAGGTACAGGCTCCGAGTCCGCCCATGCAGCCCCTCACTCAGTTTTCCCTCGGTTCCACTCTCCTCTGCACTCCCCTTGACGCAATGGCTTCTGAGGCGATGCTGTTGGCCTTGCTGCTTTGTCATCACTCTGCAGCTTCATGGATAGTCTGGGGCCAACTGAGTTCCAGAAGAACCACAACACAAAACGCGGCTTCTCCCAGGAGCTGCCATCTTCTGCCCAGGGACTGGGCTTTGCCGTCGTGCCATCCTCGTGCCCATCATGGCGGCGTCTCCTGGTCCCAGCTCTGATGAACATCCGTTGCTAGAAAGAGGCAACCAGATCTGACCACCCCAAGGTCACAGCTTCACGCTGGGCTGGCGAGTGGGCATTTGGCGCCTTCCCTGGAGAGGAGCTAAGCCGCAGCAAGGAGCTCGGGTTACATTCCAGGGTCCAGCAAACTTGGCAGGCCCAAGGGTCAAGGCTGCTGCACGGCCAGTCATGAGTCCAGCACAACTAAAAGGCATAAAATGGTGCTTTGCTGCAGAATTACATCCTCGCGGGCCGGCTTTGCCCAAGGTGCTCCAGTCACAATTCGTGATTTCGGCTGTGTGCTCTTTGTCCTGCCAGGAGACCCCCTTTTCACCTCTCCCCATGCTCCATGCAATGCCACCTCTGATGTTGGTCAGGAACACCACAGGCCAAGGCCATGAGCAGACTGCTCTGCCATCTCCAGCCTCAAGTCAAGTCTTGGCCCACTCTGGTCTGCCCAGGGAAGTCCAGGCCTCGGGCTCTCTCACCAGCACTGCACATCTGTGTTTCATCAAAGGCTAGAAGTGGGGACTCAACTCTAGGCAATCAACTCTAGAACACCAAGGATCTTGACTCTAGAACACTGAGAACATCAGCACAGACATCTGAGCTTCATCGGAGGCTGGAGCTGAGCTCTTTATTCTAGAACTTCACGTGGGCCCCTCGGCATGGACATCTGAGCTCAATCGGAGGCTGAGCTGAGGGCGCAATTCTGAACCATCAAGTGGCTCCTCGTCACGACATCTGAGCTTCATCAAAAATGGAGATGAGGTCTCAGTTCTACATCAAGAGGACCCCTTGTCATGGACATCCAAGCTTCATTAGAGGGAGGAGCTGGGGTGGTGGCTCTGGAACATCATGGAGACCTTCATCAAGGACATCTGAGCTTCACTGGAGGCTGGGGCTAGAGTCTTCTTTCTGGAACATCAAATGGAGTCCCCATCATGGACATCAGAGCTTCATCAGAGACCAAACTTTGGGTCTCAGCTCTAGACATCAAGTCTCAGCTCTAGAACATCAAAGAGTCCTTCATCATGGACATCTGAGCTTCACTGTAGGCTGGAGCTACAGTCTCCATTCCAGAACATCTATAGGGTCTCTCATTATGGACATCTGAGTTGCATCAGAGGCTGGAGTTGAGGTCTTCATTCTAGAACATCAAGGAGGTCTCTCAAGGACATCTGGACATCCCTGGAAGCTGGAGCTGAGGTCTTGATTCTGGCACATAAAGAAGACCTTCGCCATGGACACCTGGGCTTCATTAGAGGCTGGAGCTGCGGTCTCAGTTCTGGATCATCAATGGAGGGTCTCATTCTCAATGTCCAAACCTCGTGGAGCCCAGGACTCGGCTGCCACATGCAGTACCGTGCAGGGCCCTCGGCTCCCTCTTGGCGGGGCATGGACGCCCTGAGCTGGGCACACTCTGAAGACCGTCTCATCTCAGTGCTGCCTGACCGTCACTCGGCACCGTCTCTGTCTCCATCAAGGGGTGGGGTCGGGTCTCCTTGGCTAGGACAAGGCCATAGTCCCCAGGTGGTTCTTTTTCTCCCCAAAGGGGCTGCACTCATGACTGGACTTGACCGTAGCTCTCTTGAGGCACATCTCTGCTGGGGGTGGGGGGAGGAAGGGAGGTTCTAGAAGGAGGGCAAGAAGAGTAAGAGGAATGGGGGAAAGGTAGAAAGGAAGAGGCGGAGGTGGTGATGGTGGTGGTGGTGGCTTTGGCCTTGACCGTGATGATGGTGGTGGCCTCTCCCTTCTCAGTGGTTGTTGTCCAGCTCATTTGTTCCAGCAAAGTCAGGGGTGCTGACCCCAGGAACCCCTAGAGTTGCTCCCTCTGCCCCATTCAGCCCCACACAGCCTGACCTTCCTGAACTGGTATGGGGGGGTGCACCTGATGCTCCATCTCTGTGGGCCCCAGGACCCTGCTCGTAAGCACCTTGTGGGAGGCAGGCTGGCCCAGATGGCAGCCAGGTGGACTGCCTTGGCCATGGACATCCAGGGGCAGCCCCTCAGGGGCTTGGGGCAGGACAGTGAGCCCTGCTCAGACTTCCTCCACCTCCTGTCTACACTTCCTTCTGGAAAGAAACCTGGCATCCCACAACTATTAGAAGAAGGGGGCACCCAGGTTAGTTCACCCAACGTGCATCAACCCCAGTACCCCACCAGGCCAGCTCTGCTCCCAGGCACCCCATCACCCTGAGTGCCCAATGGGTGGGGGCAGGTGGCTTGCTGGGACTCAGCCAGCTCCTCCCAACCCCCAGCCAACACACAACCCGAGGCGAAGGCCACTCCCTCCTCAGATTAGTAGCACATCCATCACCGTAGTTGTTAAGGCAAGAACACATTTATTGAAGCACAGTCAGGTGTCCAAACCCATTTCACAGATGAGGACAAGGGAGGCTTGGTGACCCCCAGTCTCAGGGTTCGCGAGGGGCCGGGCAGGGGCAGATCAGTGCAGTCCATCGGTCAGAGGGTGGAGTGTTACTCAAGGGGAGGCCGGGTGGGAGGGCCCCTCCTCGCGGGGGCAGCCCCAGGTCCAGAGTCTTTGGGTCCAGCCTGTCCCGTGGGAAAGCGTGCAGGGCGTCCCCGTGCTGTGGAGGCTGAGAGAGACAGGCGCAGATGAGACCACCTGCCCCATCTCATGCGACAAGAGTTCTCGTGCAGACGGGAGCCTGGAGCCCGGGAGGGGAGCCCAAGGCCCCTCTGTGGAGAGCTGGTGACGGGGAGGCCCTGGCTCCCCACAGCTGGGGCCGGCGAGGGGGGCTCCAGCCACCAGCTACTGCCCACCTGCCTGGCACCCCTCCCATCTGTCCTCCCACATGCTGCCCGCCCACCCCCTCTCCTCCTCTTGCAGAACTTTCCAGAGGTTTCACTCAAGGGCTGGACCCTCCTCACCTTAACCCCGTAGGGCCCCCCGCCCCTATGAACCCAGAGTCTAGAATTCTGGGCCTTCCTAAGACCACCCAGCTCTCCTGTGTGACCCAATGGCCATTGCTTTATGTAATAGCCTCACCCTCCTGTGGGGGGCTCAAAAGACTCTCCCTGGTCCCCCCACTTCTGCCTGGAAACCTGTGAAGTCTCTGTATTTGAAAGCAAACCTCTCCCACCCTCACTACCTCCCAGAGCTGGCTGGCCGCCCCAGGCTCCACCTCGCCCCACAGGCTGCTGGGCCAGCATCCCAGAGAGCAAAGGGCCTCCACGACCTGCACTCTGCCTGAGCCCTGGGCCACCGGGAGGGCGCCTGTGCACCAGGTAGCCAGTCATAAAAGGGAGGTAACCGGCCCAGCACAGGTGACTCGCTCCAGGCTGTGGGGAGCAGTCACTCTAGCGAGACACAATGAAGGCGTTTGAACACGGGCCCCAACTGTCAAGAGCCACAGGAGGGGCACACCACCCTCATCAGTGCCCTTGGCAGCTGCCCAGGGGGCCGAGCTGGCAGCAAGAGCAATCGCCGGCCCAGACTCAGAGTCCCCTCATGTGTGCCATTCTTTGGGGACCAAGGTGGGGTGAAAGGAACCCCAGGCTGGGGCTGAGCCCCGAGTCTGCTTGGTGCCCATGGCTGCGCCCCAGACTAGGCCTCTCCCTCACAGGCCTCTGCTGATTGTCGCCAACGGTGGGACCGCAGGTGGGAGGGCCTGAGCGTGGCCAGGGTGACGTGGGAGCGCCCGAGCCACATCAACACCACCTATGCCGCACACAAGGACGTCCCAGCCCAGGTGAGGCTGCATTTAGGGTAAGTGTCTCCCCCACACGTGTGGGGTCAGACACGCTCCGCCAGGAGCGCCCTGGGCAGCTGCTCTGGGCTGGGGCCTCCCACGCCCACCCCTTCCTCACAGACACTCAGGGATTTGACGTGCGCATCAGGAAACAGTGCATGCAGCTCTCTGCACCCTAAGCCCGCCTCTCAGGGAGCCCCCCAGATGCCCCAGAGCAGAAGCAGGGCTCGGCGTGGGGGAGGGGTTCAGGGGCAGCTTAGCCGTGACCTCATGCATCAGGAGGTGGGGACCCTGCCTGCCCACCTCAAGGGGACAGTGACATGAAACCCCAGGCACTGCCAGGGCCCTTGCCCCTGGGTCACACAGGCCTGGCCTGGGAAGAGCCGGGGAACACGCCCTAAACACAGACATCCAGTCCCATGAGTCCAGGGGTCCTACCTGTCCACAGCGTGGGCCCCTTCCTCAAGGACAGGGATGGCCAAGGGGCAGACACCCGAGGGAACCTGCTAGACCCCAGCAAAGCCTCGGGGGGCACCTGGAACCATGCTGAGGTCCTGGGGGGCAGGCACAGCTGATAGAGATGTGGAGCCCAGACAGGGTGGGGGGATGGATGCTAACTTTGGGGTATCCACATGAGGGGCTCTTACAGCAAAAATGCTACTCCCCCAAACGCCGGGGACAAGGGCCAGGCAAGGATTTCAGAGGTCTGATGAAAAGACCCCCCCAAAAGCCCAAGTGACCCCACCCCTACAGGGGCATCTTGTGAGACCTCCTGTGGGAGGGGGGCGTGTCTTAAGTGTCCACGTCTGACTCGGGCACAGGTCAGGGCAAGATGGGTCAAGGCTGCACACCGGGTGGGGAGCCCGGTCACAGCGCCCGCTAGAGTGGACAGAGCACCAGCTTGGCCTGAGAGACTCCCGCATCCTGCTGACCCTGACCCTCAGCTTGCTCAGCCCTAAAATGGGCCCCCACCGGAGCAGGGAGCAGGAGGGCAAAGCATCTCACAGCCCAGAACTTTGTGCCAGGCGTGGACGGGGCTGAAAGACTCATTTCTCCCCCAACAATCCGGGAAGGAAGGAAGAGAGAAGGGAAGAAATCAGCTGCCCAGGCCCGTCCCCCAGAGAGGAGGGTCCCACCAAGGGGTGAGCCGGCAGCCCCTCTTCACCCTCTCTCTAACCTGGGCCCCGCCACTCCCCACAAGGTGACTGAGCCCGGGGCAAACACAGACGCAGAAGCAGCCCCAAGCAGACACAGCACCACCAGGACAGCAAAGTCAGAGCAGCGCCCTCGCCAGCCCACCCCGAAGCGACACACAGAGAGGGCGGCCATGCTGGGGGCGGGAGGAAGAAGCCGGCTCATCATCCCAGCACACGCCTCGGGGCCGGAGTCGCTCAGCGCTGGCCCGTGGCCGCCTCACGGCCCTCACGCCGGGAGGGCACGCGCCCAGAGCCACGGGCGCATCAGCAGAAGCCTCCCAACAGCTCCGACCTGCGGCCCCTTCCGAACAGGCAGCCCTGGCCACCCTGGGTGCAGGTCACCCAGCCCCGCCCCGCAGCCACCCGCCGTCAAACATGCTGGGGACCCAGGTCTTAGAGAAGGAGACAGGGTGGTGAGAGAGGGGCGTTAGTGAGGTGGCTCAGGCTGTGCCCGATTCTAACCTCTCACACCAAACACCGACAGCCAGAGAGGACAGCAAGAATCCCAGTGTTCAGAGAGCTCGTCACACAAAGGTCAGTTCCACACAGCACAGCGATGGTTAACACGTCAGTGAAAAGCAAGATACAGTCTCTTGGGAGAGCTTAGAAACACAGGCCACTTGCATGGGTTACAGTTTCCTTCTTTGACCACCCACCCCACACCCCACCTTCCACCCCCCCACCCCACAGAAGTAGGTGGAGAGCCCACCCACCACTGGTCAGGGCTGTTAGGCACCAGGTCCCTGCCATGGGCACCCGAACGCTGCCAGCTGGGCGAGGGGACACTGGGGAGGGGACATGTACTTGGGGGGCAGGACCCCATAGGAAGGGGCTCGGGAGGGCCGTGCCTCAGTGCTGCCCACAGGCCAGACGCAGTGGTAGGCAAGCCCCAGCCGGCACTTCCACCCATTTCCAGAGGCCAGTGTGGACGCGTACTCCAGGGGGTCCGGGGCGCTGCCCAACAAGGCCACCGTCTCACCATGCCAGACAGAGGTGCCGCTTCAGCCCGCACAACCCTGTGTGCGGCAGGAAGCCGATCCCCACCGCGGCCATGCAAGTCGGCCTCTGGCCTCCCTCCCGGGCCTCTGGCCCGGCACCCCTCTGGGGGCAGGCGCCACCCTGGTCACACACGTCCTCACAACAGCCCTGCGAGGTGGGTGCCTGGTCCCCCAGACCTGCCGCTGCCCCAAGGTGCAACACATAGTTGGTGTTTGTCCAGCTCCAGGGTCCTGGCTCCTCGGCTGGGGAACAAAGGGTGGCGCCCCAGGACCTCACCTGTCTCTCCCCAGAACAGTGAGCTAAAGGGGGGCTGCCTGGTCTGCCAACAGCTCATCCTGGGTGGACCCTGCAACCCAGGGCCAGGTCCTGCACCCCACGAGCCATCACTTTCCTAATTTCCTCTGAATAGAGTCCAGCATTACTAATCTGCAAGGGGACAGGATGACTCTAAGGTCGCTTTGTAAAGGACCAGGGTGCCCTAATAGTGTGAAAGCCTCCTCACCGCCAAATTGTCCTTCATCCAGACACACCCCCCCCGGCCCACCCCCGGCTCTCACTTGGGCTCTAAAGCACCCGGGCTGTGATTTCTGAGCAGCCAGGGAGCAGTTTGCTGATTACTAATCAACCTAGTTTCACAAGGCACCGAGTGGAAGGGCAATCAAACTCCGGCAGCACTGGGGCCCGTGAGGGGGCGCTGCCTCCAGGTCCCCCAGCGGGCCCTGCGGCCCAGCCGCGCATCAAGTGCAGGAACACGGGGATGGCGCTGGGGGCAAAGCTCATGGCAGGGATGGGGCCATGTGGTGGCCTGGGAGCACGAGTCTGCTCGTGATGCGTAGGGCGCATGAGAGGCGGGAAGCGTGTGGGTGACGGCGGCAGGTGAGACAGCCGGGACATGCTCAGAGCAGTGACCGCGGAGGAGGAAGCGACAGAGACAGCCATGGCCCCGCACAGCCCACCCAAGATGGAAGGCTGGTCTCAGGAGAGGCAGAGGCCAGAGCGCCAGGGCAGGAAATGTAAGCAGATACATGGGTGGGTGCGTGGGAGGGAGGATGGATGGATGGAGGAAGGATGGATGGGTGGGTGGATGGATGGATGGGTGGGTGGATGGGTGGATGGGTGGATGGATGGATGGATGGGTGGATGGATGGATGGATGGGTGGATGGATGGATGGATGGGTGGATGGATGGATGGATGGGTGGATGGATGGATGGATGGGTGGATGGATGGATGGATGGGTGGGTGGATGGATGGATGGGTGGATGGATGGATGGATGGGTGGGTGGATGGATGGGTGGATGGGTGGATGGATGGATGGATGGGTGGATGGATGGATGGATGGATGGGTGGGTGGATGGATGGATGGGTGGGTGGATGGATGGGTGGGTGGATGGATGGATGGATAAGTGGATGGGTGGGTGGATGGATGGGTGGATGGGTGGATGGGTGGGTGGGAGGATGATGGGTGGATGGGTGGATGGATGGATGAATGGAATCAAGTTGGAAATCACCTCCAGCCTCCCAGTTTGGGAACTGGGGGGCCCAGGGCATGGGTCCTGACAGGCAGATGGTGCATGGTGCTATAGCAGAAGGTCGTTGGGAGAGCAGGGGTGGAGGGGTGTCCTGGAAGTCGGGGTGTATCCCCAGCGATTGTGCACCCTCTCCAATCGGCCCTGGTGACCTTGGTGCCT